GAAAAACACTTTCCGTAAAAACAGCTATTTTTGGAGTTTTTGCCCTCTGGAGGCTAAACCGTTGACCTGAGGTAAATATTGATAATGACCTTTTCAAAAGAAGTGTTCAAAAGCTATCGATTGCTCTTTCATGCGTTTTTCTAGCTACCATAGTTCCTGAGATAGCGGCATGTGTTCTGAGAAATATAATGACATTTGGCAAATTTTGACCTTTGATGACCTACAGTGACCTCAATATTGCTCTAAGATGAAAATGACCTAAATACTTTCAAACGTACGCATTGAGAGCTGTCCACTGCTTTTTACCGCGCTTTTCTAGCCCTCTTAGTTTTTGAGTTAGAGGTGGGTGGTAACATATGCCCCCCCCCCCCCCCACTAGGGCGAAGTTGGCTGAGACCGCCACTGGGGCGCGGGTTAACCTTCCAGGCGGTGGGGGGGGGGGGCATTTTTTGCCCCCTTTAGTTTTTTCGATATAGGTATCTCGAGAACCGCTGTGCCGATCGTCACCAAACTTTCAGTACCCTCCCGGGAGCAGCTAGCGCACATGGTGACCAAAATTTTTTACAAAGGCTATGATAGGTTGGCCGCTAATGACGTCAGAGTGACGTCATTTTTGTCATTTTCGACCCAAAAAAAAGGTTTCACGGGAAGAGCTGTCAGGCCTACAGCTTTAGAGATACAGAAAAATGTTTCAGACATAAAAGGTGTGGAATTAAAAGGGCTACAAAACTATCATCTCGGTTTTTCGAATTTTTTGGATTTTGACCCCCAAAAATAAAAAAATAGATTTTTTGAATATAATAGCCAAAAAATCCAAAAAGTTTTTTGAATTTCGAAAAAACGGAATATATGTGATAGCCCCTACCGCCTTCTATCTACATACCAAATTTGAGATCGATACCTCTTTTTTTGGCCAAGTTGTAGCGAAAAAAAACTGTTCAAAATTGATGACGTCAAATTTTCAAACTCAATTTTTAGCAATTCTAGACCTCGTAGCGCCAAACAAAGACCACCATTAGACTCCCCGTGACGAGCTGCATCGAATCGATACCCATTTTATGCAAACATATCAACTTTGAAATTTGACCTTTTTTGACCTGACCTTGACCTGACCTCCACCAGAAAGTGACCTAAATCGTACCTGATGGTCTTATGACCAACACCATTGAGTTGGAAATGAAAAACTGGCCATAAAACATGCATCGCATAACCTTAGTAAAGTTGGGCTCATGTGGTGACCCTTGGTGACCTTTGGTGACCTGACCTGTGACCTGACCTGGTATGACCAATGACCTGTAATAGCAACATATGTACTAGACAACTGACGCCTTATCGCTGATTTTCGACAAAATGCGTTTTACTCGGTGTTATAACGCTTTCCCTAGAAGCCCCGTGAACGGTGAAACATTTTATCTTTGACCTGACCTGTGACGTCATCGGTGACCCCGAGGTCAATGAAATTTGGTTTCCTTCGACAAATTTGACAGGGCTATCGAACGCCGTTTGAATTTTGCGGATCCGTTCAGTAGTTTCGGAGATACGGGGGGGGGGGCAAAAAAGTGCCCCCCCCCACCGCGCGGAAGGTGGCTGGTAGGCCCACCGCCTGCCGGGTTAATCAATTTTGCATTGATGATCTTGCATGATTTTATATATTACGCCACTATGGTCTCTTGAGGTCATGGGAGTTATTTATCAATCACCCTCAATCAAATTAACCCGCGAGTTACTGGGGGAGCTAAACGCCCCCACTTTTTGCCGCGCTATAGCTAAAAAATGGCGCAGTTTTGGATTCCTGTAGAGGATTGATCGACGTTTGTTGTGAGGAACTTTAAAAAAAAATCGGTCGAAAATTTTTAAGATATCGAGGTGTTAGTGACGTCATTAATGTTGAATTTTCGACCAAAAACGGCATTTGTATTGGAGAGTGGGACAAATCGCCCCCGTTAAGCTAAAAAAAAACTCTTGCGGACGAACTTGATAGGATTCGTTGCTAAGTAAACGATTTTATTGAAGTGTAGGTATTCATTTTGCCAACTGATCGAATACACATAACTCCCGTAGGATTCGTTTGTTAGGAATGGAGAATGATATGCGTTTCCTCGAGCATTTCGGGCATCTTACTCCGTGGGTGGGTAAGAGTAAGACGCCCACCCGAGGAGAAAGGTGCACAAAACTCAAACGGCTCACGATTGTTTGGAACACAGTATAGCGGTAGAGAGCTAATAATTGACATAACTGACCTTTGATTTAATCAGGATCTTTTGACAGCAAAAGTTTTTCAGGTCAGTTCATGTTACTGATCTGTGACACTTCCTTATGACGGTTACGTTGCAAGCGAGCCTCTGTTTGGTCCAAAAATGTCGAAAAGCTCTCAGTGCGAAGGAATCTTTAGTGGTCAAAGTCGTGGCACTGGAGCCATTTTTGGCAAAGTTATTCATCTGAACCCGGATATAAGACCATCTCAACTGGCTGGAATCGTGAAAATTCATAACTCATCAGTTCTTCATAAAACTTGGAGTATTTGACCTGACCTCAGAGGTCACCTGATTATTTGAGACATGGAGATTAGGTTTCGGTCACTGCGTTTTTTAACGGCGCACTTGTCTTTTTTTTCTGCGCCGCTCTAGTTGATTACGGGCGAAATGGCGTGGGGAATTTCCACCAACCGCCCTCGGCCGAAGTTTATGTCGAAAACCAAATGGTCTGATGTGGGTTAATGATCCTTTTCCAGGAAATATTAGGCCATTAACTTTCAGCGTGATAAAAATTAATTTAGCAAAAACAAATAGGATTTCGGCTGATATTGCTCAACTTACCTACACATACATAGTTTAACGGACAAAAAGGAAACATAGAAATAACACGAAAAACTCTTATTCTTGAGCTCAAGACCAATTTTGTAATATCCAAGTTTAGTTACCTTTAAATCGAGGTAATATGGGATTCGGTATGTTCAATTCCAATATCACAGAATAAACCGAAATAATCTATATTTAAAAGCTCGCCAAGGGAATTCGCCAGTAAATACAATTAACTTGTTTTTGCAATATCTCAGCCGTTTCTGGGCCGATTTAGCTGAAACTAGGACTTTCGGTGGTAGTGTAGTGTAGTGTAGTGTAGTGTAGTGTAGTGTAGTGTAGGAGTAGGAGTAGGAGTAGGAGTAGGAGTAGGAGTAGGAGTAGAGGTAGTGTAGGAGTAGGGTAGAGAAGGAGTAGGAGTAGAGTAGGAGTAGAGTAGGAGTAGGATAGGGTAGGGGTAGGGTAGGGGTAGGGTAGGGGTAGGGTAAAGGGTTGAGTTTAAAAAGGGCCTAACATACAAAAGACTTGGACAACCCGCAACTATCACTATTATACCTTATAAGTTTAATTAAAAACAGCTACCCAAATCTACCCAAATAATACAGCTAAAAATACAGGTTACTCACCCAAACTAATGAATCCGTCACATAAAATAAATCAAAACATGCAGTTATCGCGTAAACCTGTACCTCTAGTTATGCATAAACGTACGTTTATCGAATATTTAGTTCATCCCTTGGTGTATTGTAACACTACCGTTGCAGTTGGAAAAAAATGGATACCTGATGGCTGAATCAAAATTCAACAGCGAATTCTTTCTAGACATGTGTCGTGTCATTTTTTTCGCTCATCTGTCCATGGTTTGCCACTAGATCTCGTTTATCCATTTGCCGTCTAATGTCCCGTCTTCTGAAGCCTGTGGCGGGCCGTGGCTTCTGCTCGTCCCGGTCCAGTTTTCCCCATGCCGCTAGTTTATGGGTACGGCCACTTCGGGACAGGTCGGGTCGGAACGGGACCGGACGCGCGATTGCGTCGGTCAGGAGTTACGCGGTCCTTTATAGCCCTGACTTGCCGTTTCTGCGGGGTCGACTGGCGTTACACCACGAAGGATAAGAGGTCAGTTGGCAAGTGTAGCAATCGAATCGGGTTCACTAAAAGCTAGTCCTTCGATGCTCGGTTTAGATAAATCGATAAGCCATCGAAACCACTTTTTTACTTAGGTATCCAGTTGCTCGAATCCTATAATTCAAAACCATTTTTGGCTAGTAGGTACTGGGCGATAACCATCGGCGACAGATGTAGCATCCATAATATAAAAAGATATAGGTATAGTCTGCTTTTTTGTTTTTCTCCCTAAGCAATCACCATCGAGGCACAAAACCATATATAACTGTTGATGCAATAACATTTATTTCAAAACAGCCACATGTCGCTCGTTGACTGCAAACACATTTGCAATGCTGACTTCTTGCTGACACACAAGCATTTCCTTGACCTTCTCGCAGCATTATTCGGGCGGCTGTTAGATTAGATTACCGTTCCGAAAATCACACACACAGAAAAATATTGACACCGTTAGCGGTGTAATTGCACAGTACATATCTGAGCACTTGAGGAAAGTTAATTTAGTCCCTTCCCCGCTTAAATTACTCGCGCTTCCAAGTGAACACCAGGAAGAAGGTAATAGAACACTGTTAGGAGGGTTGGGTGTTTTACTACATGTAGCAAAACACCCAACCCTCCTAACAGTGTTCTATTACCTTCTTCCTAGTGTTCATTTGGAAGCGCGAGTAATTTAAGCGGGGAAGGGACTAAATTAACTTTCCTCAAGTGCTCAGATATGTACTGTGCAATTACACCGCTAACGGTGTTAATATTTTTCTGTGTGCAGAGCAGACTGCAATTATTTAATATTTGCGATCCTTATCGAGGCGTTTCCAGAGACGACGGCCACTTAGGTACCATGACCAGTTTTAAGCGTTAGCTCAGTCATAGATAACATGAATCTATGGCTTCATCAATCTATGGATTCATGCTATCTATGACTCAGTATTGTCAGATTGGTCCAACAGTGAGATCTGTTCCTATATTTTTTTTCGACGAAAACATCTCATTCCAGTAGGTACCGGTAATCGAGGCACTTATCTACAAGAACACATAGCAATGTGAACGAGCATAAAACATTTCCAATTTCCATTGATGTACGAGTAATCGCATTGCGTTTATTATGGCTGACAAATTACATGAGGACAGATGGCACGAGGAGCACTAGCGGCTATAACCGTTGTAGCTCTGCCCGTACTGTTTGGGAGGGCCATAGCCAGACGACACGCTGGGGACATGGTATTGGGAAGACACCTGAGGTGCGTAGCCTTGATTGGGACCATTGTAGGTGGTACTTGGGGCGTTGTAGCCAGTGCTCGGAGCGCTGTAACCCTTGTTCGGGGTACCGTAGTTTGTTTTCGGGGTGTCGTAGCTGGTCTTCGGGGCGTTGTAGCCGACATTCGGAACATTGTAGCTTGTTTTCGGCGTATCGTAGCTCGTTTTCGGAGCATCGTAGCTTGTCTTCGGGGTGTCGTAGCCAATGCTAGGGGTGTTGTAGGTTGTTTTCGGAGTATCGTAGCTTGTTTTCGGAGCATCGTAGCTTGTTTTCGGAGTTTCGTAGCCTGTCTTAGGGACATCGTAGCCAGTGCTAGGGGTGTTGTAGCTTGTTTTCGGGGTATCGTAGCCCGTGCTTGGGGTGTTGTAGCCGGTGCTAGGGGCGTTGTAGCTTGTTTTCGGAGTATCGTAGCTTGCCTTCGGGGTATCGTAACCAATGCTAGGGGTGTTGTAGGTTGTTTTTGGAGTATCGTAGCTTGTTTTCGGAGTGTCGTAGCTTGTTTTCGGAGTTTCGTAGCCTGTCTTCGGGGCATCGTAGCCAGTGCTAGGGGTATCGTAGCTTGTCTTCGGGGTATCGTAGCCCGTGCTTGGGGTGTTGTAGCCCGTGCTAGGGGCGTTGTAGCCTGTTTTCGGGGTATCGTAACCGGTGCTAGGAGTATCGTAGCTCGTTTTCGGAGTATCGTAACCGATGCTCGGAGTATTGTAGCCGGTGCTGGGAGTATCGTAGCCCGTGCTGGGAGTATCGTAGGTCGTTTTCGGAGTATCGTATCCGGTGCTGGGAGTATCGTAGCCAGTGTTCGGAGTACCGTAGCTGGTCGGCAGGTGTGGGACGTTGTACTGCTGGTTAGGCTCCTGGTAGCCGGAGCTGGGAGCGTCGTATCCGGACGATACGGCGCCGATTCCGGGGCCAAGATTTGGCTGGAAGGAGCCAAACGACACTCCTGGGTGGCGGAATTGGCCGCCCACCAGCTGACCAGCCTGGTGAGTCACCGGTCCCAGACCGTGACCTCGGGTCACAGCTCCGTGACCTGAGGTCACACGTCCGTGGCCGTGACTGAAGCGACCACCTCCATCAGCCAGGCACAGCCCGACCAGCAGGGAAGCGGCGAAAACCTGAAAATAGGGAAATGTAAGAGAGCTTCCATTCCATTGTGGAGTCACGCACAAAGTAAAACGAGGCAGAGGTGGGTGAATATTGAACAGCGAGATGCCAAGTGTGAATTAAGAGTTAGGTACTTGTAGCTTGAACGTTTTTCATTACATGTTGAACACTTTTTATGCAACGTTATGATAAAAGTTGATAAATTCAATCCAACCACAACCAAAAATATTGTGATCATGCGAGCAGCAGAGCATTTAGGAATGAATCATCGTGCCAAACAACTATGATTGCAGTGGAATATGAATGATAAAATCACTTGAGTCCTTGAGTTCCAAATTCTAAACATTTACTTTATGTCTTTCGTCACTACAGAAATAAACGTGATTTGGAAACTAATCTACAAGCACTAAGCAAGCTTTGGTGACACTTCCTCATTAAAATGGGTCTCTATTGAATATTGGATGTTCACTCCGATATCCTACCTTAGTGAGCGCCATGTTGACAGCTGGTGCTCGACACTGCGAGTGTGTCTGGCTGGGCCAATGGGTGCTCTTTATAGGTAGCCACGGACTGCTCGCTGTGCAATCCGTGCACGATCGGTCCCAGGCTCTGTCCACTGTGCGCTGCACGGTGCACGGTGCACGTGCTGCGCGAGCGGCAGACCACGCGGCGCGAGGAGAAAGCCACAGGAAACAGACTCTCTGTGTCTGATCGTTATCTGGTGGCATAGCGTCGTCGCAATCGGTTACGATGAACAAATGAATGGTGGGGTTTCGACCAAAAACGGAGAGATCGCCGTCATTGTCAGCTGGCCGAGTTTCCGGTGACCGTGTGCTGGTAGGTCATTTATGTCAGATCGGGGATATTGTAGTTTTGCAACAGGGTGCCCAGTTAACTATACCAGAGTCGCGTTAGGTTTGCTGGGAATATGACCCCATGCATACACATTGTATTAATTATGTCATACCTACATGCCTTTGTTTTAGACACATGGACATGTTCCTTGCAAATCTCAATCGTGCAGTATAGAGCAGCATACTGTATTTCATAATGCCACAGAACATAAAGATAAGGGCGCTACAAAGAGACACTTGATTTCATCAACTGACCTTTTATTAAAACTGGCATGCAGAAGACTTGTAGGTAAGTTGTATGACATGTCTCTCTATGAAGCTGGCTACGCCGTTATGTGCCGCAAATAGCCTTTTCAGAATTCAGTTTCTCGGAGAAGCAGCTGAAGGTACCCGGTCCCCAAAGTTCACCCTTCAATAATTAGTTTAATTTGGACTGACCACCTCTCACACGATAGCTGATGAAATACTACTAGGCCCTAGTTATCCTATCATAATAACTAGGGCCTATGTATGTATCATATGTATGATAGGATTTATCGTCTATTGATATTTCAACAATTATTGAGGAAAAGGTAATTCCAAATTAAACTATTGACTTTTTAATATTCCTCGCAAGAGCACTCCGTACAGTTTCGTCAAGGGGTAAGTTGGAGGCATGCGCGGTTGTTGATTAGACAAGGGTTCACTTCATTTACTCCGCTGAATGGACGCTTACCACGAACACAGACACATATCATCGCAATCAAAGCCCACGTAGAACTGGGGTAGAAGAATTATCGATTGACACACTGTTTCCAATTACATTCAAGAGAATAAAGTTGATCCTGTTTAAACAAAGGAAACGACGTGCCGGCATTTCGGTGCTGTCCTTTATACGTTTCTAATTTCGCCGGCTGGCCTTCACTGGAATAAAACTTAGTGGGGAATGACGCAAACTCAGGTATGGTGAAAAAGTACAATACATTGCAGGGTGGGATATATCTCCCATTACGATGTCAATCTTAAGTGGTCCCATTTTTCTGCTACTCTCAGAAAAAGATGCGCCGAGGAACAAAAGACTCTCGACATGTGCGGATTTGCAAATGCCGTGTGAAAAAGCACGCCTGATGTGGTCTCGTGATGATGAAAAGAAAAATTGCTCGGGCTGCCTTCTAATGTAGGTGCAACGTCATTTTTGAACTGCTAAATTCAGTATACCTTTATTCTCTGTCATATGTACAATGTACATACATTGCAGCCGAGACGGCCAAGTTGATAGATGATGACTGATAGCGATTATTGAACCCGTATCTACATTTGCGGCCTCGACCACGGCCCGAGAAGCAATTAACTGCGTCTGCACAGAGGTAATTACCTATCTGACAAGCAGTTCTGAGGATACAATAATTGATATATATTCAACCAGTATAACGCCTTTTGGGGCGACTAACGGAGCGAGCGAGAGGGTGGGCCTTGCACGTGCGAAATTGCGAGGGGGTACCTCCAACTGACTTGTGCACGGCACCCTACTAACTGGTCTCTAGCGATGTGCCAAATTTGGGCACAATCGGCCCAGGCGGCCCAGCCGTTCTCGAGATCTGGAAGCGGCACCCTGCACGTGCGCACGTGCAAAATGGGTCCCAACTGACTTGTGCACGGCACGCTACTAACCGGTCCCTAACCGTGTACCAAATTTGAGCGCAATCGGTCCAGCCGTTCCCGAGATCTGGAAACGACCCTTGCACGTGCGCACGTGCAGCAGCACCCCAACTCTGGCACATGTATATGCAGTGCCTAGTGGGTGCCTACCTACATGCCAACTTTCAGCGCAATTGGCCAAGTAGTTACCGAGATATTGCAACAATTACAAAAGTGACACCTCTTCGTTTTGCACGTGGCAAGTGCATAAGGGGTCACCCACATGCATCGGGAATAGTCCAATACTTGGTAGAAGGAATGAAGCTACCCTACAAAAATTACCGCGTGTAAATCGGTCAAGTGGTTGCTGAGATATAAGCCTCGCAAAAGCGTGACCACGGCCGGCCGGCCGGCCGGCCGGCCGGCCGCTCATACTCAGAAATTTCCGTTAATCTAGGGAAAGACTACGCTCGCTTCGCTCTGCTCCGTAATAATTGATTGAAGAAATTAAACTCACGATATTAATCGACATGACAGTTAGGTATACATAGGAAAAATAACTCTTTAGACTGTATCCTCGTGGAGCGTGTAGTGTGTTAGCCTGTAAATAAATGATTTTTTCCTGCGCCTTCGTTTCCGCTTAGGAGTGACAATTCCGGTGATTTTGAAGCGACCTTCGGTCGGATCCAACGCCAAATATAAGCGCACACGGGGCAAAAGCAATTGCTAAAAGGGGAACAGACTTCTCATGGTATCTAGACTGAATCTTAGATTTAACCCTCGCGGGCCCGGGGGGCGCGTTTTTCGCCCCACCCCCTGGCGAATATTTGCGATAGCTCCCGAACGCTTAGGGATAGGAAAGCGAAACTTTCAGTACCTTTTCTCCCATCAATTTGACATCTTCTGAAGTAAAAAAATTGGACCTAGCCCCCTTGATGACGTCACAAGGTCCATTTTTCTAGACCCCTGCACGGCAAACTTCGGCGTCACAGACGCAAACTTCAAATAGCTACTAAAAATAGAGTTTTAGAGATAAAGACAAATTACGCGCACAGTTGTGTAGCGTTTGACCTAGAGAAAAATAGAAAAACAGTTTTGGTGACCTGAGGTCAGAGGTCAGGTCAACGACCCCGAAATGTGGTTTTAGTTTTTCGCAAATAACTTCGACAAAAATGGTCCTAGAGCTACGGCAGTGGTACCATCGCATTCGCCTTGTCAAGCCGCGTCGAATGATATATATTTTGTTCGGAAAAGGTCAAATTTTGTGTTGACCTCATGTGACCTCGAATGACCTCTGGTTGACCTTGACACATGAAAGGTCGTTTATGATGGATTTGTATCTGCTGATCACGAATCTGGTATCTATTTTCCTCTTAGCCTTCATTTAGAGCTTCCAGATGGCAAAATTGTCTTATTTATTATAACTAACTTGAATTAGTGAAATAGCCTCTAGCAGGGATACTCTTCTGTGACCTTGACCTTTGAGCAGCCTTGTATCGTAAGATGAACCACAAATAGGGAACTGATAAGCCTCAAAACATTTTAAACATCTTGGAAGTAAGCACGCAAGATGTGCGAAAAAGTGCCAAGTTTGAGGTCAATTTTGAGCGTGACCTTGACCTTGACCTTTGATTTTGAGCACAGTTTCGGAATCCTCAAATGCTCTTCTTTCGTTTGACACCCAATTTTACCGGTTTGATGCAGCCTGCCGTCCTCTAGAAGGCTTACTTTGAGATCACTACACATGTGCCGGTTTTTGCCTTTGACCTTGACCTCTGACCTTGAAAATTGACCTGAGGTCAAAAATTTTAGATGCCTTAGAATCGTCTCGTAAGGACCTTTCGTTTGGTAACGCTTTTGTTTCCGTAGCTCCCTTATTTACGGAGTTAGACGGGGGGGCGAAAAACGCCCCCCCCCCCGGGCTGCGGTGGTTGGGATTACCCCCCGGGCCCGGCCGGGTTAATATCGTTGAGATACTTGACGCGTTCAGACGGTGTAAGGCCCCCCGACCAAAGGGCCAAATTCGTCTCGAACAATGGGCTGTGCGGTGAGCCCCTCTCCACTGCTCCGCTCGAGAGGACCGGTTAGCTAACGGTGCGCGTGCACTGCGGGACCGACGGTACCCATGGGAACGCTCTGGCCACTCTGCAGAGCTGAGTGCTGACGCAGAGGCCAGCTGCAGCGTGCTGACCCTGACCGACGCCGCGACGGTCGAAAAAAGTGCTCGCGGACACGCACCGGCCGGATCTCAGGCGATCGGCGTCTGGCCGGCCGGCGCCGACGGCGGCGCTTGTCACCGCGCCCAGCGGTCGCGCGGGTAGCAGCGCGAGATGCGCGGCCTGCCCAGAGTCGAACGATCAACTATGCGTCTCCTATTGGCTATTGGTGTCTCATGTCTGACGTGTGTGTGTGTGTGGGGGGGGATATCTGGCTTTTGTACTATGGGTAGCAATAAGATGTTTTGTTGCACGGCCACGGCGGCCCGTGTAATGTGTATAGAAGCTACTGAAATACACCGGATGCCCTGACCATGGCTGAAGCCTGAAGGTTATTGAATAGATAGGCATTAGGTGAGCACCAGCGTCCGCCGTCAGGGGCGGATCCAGGAAAACTCCAAGTGGAGGGTCAGGAATAGAAGTGGTGCCCCTACCTATACCCAAAATCAAAAGCTCAACGGATTTCGGCCACTTAATTTTAGTGGTGCCCGATTTTCGTTTTTTATATATACCTACCTACATGATATATATGAATATGCAATGTGTATACCTGTAGGTTGTGGACACTGAGAACCTGAGTGGTGCCTCTAATAAGCCGCTGGTGCCCCTGAGCCCTAACAGGACTATGGTGCCCCTGAGAAGCCTGAAGTGTCCGCAACAGGCACTTGGTGTCCCTGACAGGCCCAAGGTGCCCCTTCGAGACCGGTGGTGCCCCTGGCAGGCCTGTGGTGCCCCTGACAGGCCTGCGGTACCCCTGACAGGCCTGTGGCGCCCCTGGAAGGACTGTGGTGCCCCTGAGCCCTGACAAGCCTGAGGTGCCCAGGTGCCCGCCTTACAGGCCCGTGGTGCCCCTGACAGGCCCATGATGCCCTTGTTAGGCCTGTGGTACCCCTGGCAGGCCTGTGGTGCCCCTGGCGGGACTGTGGTGCCCCTGCTAGGCCGCTGGTGCCCCTGGGCCCTGACAGGGCTGTGATGCCCCTGACAAGCCTGAAGTGCCCTCGACAGGCCCAAGGTGCCTCTGCGAAACCGGTGGTGCCCCTGGCAGGTCTGTAATGCCCCTGCCAGATCTATGATGCTCTTGCTAAGCCAATGGTGCTCCTGACAGGCCTGTGGTGCCCCTGGCGGGCCTGTGGTGCCCCTGCTAGGCTGCTGGTGTCCCTGGGTCCTGACAGGGCTGTAGTGCCCCTGACAAGCCTGAAGTGCCCCCTACAGGCCCAATGTGCCCATGCGAGACCGGCGGTGCCCCTGGTAGGCCTCTGGTGCCCCTGGCAGGTCTGTGGTGCCCCTGACAGATCTGTAGTGCTCTCGCTAAGGCGATGGTGCTCCTGACAGGCCTGTGTTGCCGCTGGTGGGTCTGTGGTGCCCATGTTAGGCCTGTGACGCCCGTGATAGGCCGGTGGTGCCCCTGGCAGGCCTGTGGTGCCCCTGGGTCCCAAAGGGGGGTCATGACCATTGACCCATGTGACTCCTCCCCTTGGATCCGTCGCTGTTTGAAATATTGATATTCGAGTTTTTAATTCTTTCCATGTACTACCAATTCTACCATAGGTGTTATGATAGAATTTTGAGCCTTGAAACCCAAGGCCCCAAGCACATACACTTCCCAAAGGCCCTGCCGGCTCTGCATCTTTCCCCTTCGGCAGGCGGCCGCCATGAGCTGGATTGAGAACATTGAGCCACGAGATTCAAAATTCAGTATCTTTCCTCCTGTCCTTTCAGCCTTGAAAATGAAATTGTCAAAATTAGGCTACCTGTTGATTTTATGCAATTACATGCACCAAAAATAGCCATACGCAACTATTTATGCAAGAAAAATAACTGAAATCATAAGCTATCAATACACGAATGCGGCTAAAATAAATTCGTAGCAGCATCTCTTGTATCTGGTTCTGGTTTGAAAAATTTCCTACCTACTAGAAAACATTTTGCAAATTTTACTGAACTCACGTTGAACATGTTGAATTATCAGCCTAGGAAGATAAAAACGAAATAAACAAAAAAAAAATCTTAAAATTTTGAGTTTTCAATTTACAGGCTTTAAAAGTAAAATTATGGAACTAAGGAAGCTTCTACTAGCTATTATACTGAATTTGAATTTCCTACTATTTAACCGTAAACATCGCGTCGAAAAGGGCGGACGCGCGGTGGTAAGTCGCTTCCATTTATTGTATTTGTTATTTTGTCTTGAATGAAGTTTGTTAAATGCATTTTTCTTTTACCGCTTAGGGCGCCTTTGGACGGACTTCTTTGAATCTGGGCTAATTATTTTGGATTCACTGTGATTCGGCTGCGCCACATTCGCCTTTTATGTGTAAAACAATGTTATATGCTTTTTATGCCTCATTTCATAAAAGGTTTTATGTCTGAACACCATTGACTTGACTTTGACACCACTTTGACTCCCACCACAATGTGTGGGACCAACGTCATATCAATATCGCATGTTTGAACGAACGCTTGAAACCACGAAAAGTCTGGAAACGCGAGGGTAATGCGAGCCTACATACCTATGCCGAATC